CAGCTGGGGAGAGCAGCAGTAGTCTGGGAGGAGCGAATCCCCAGATGGCTTCGGGTGGCCCCAGAGCTGTGGAGAAGCACCAAGTGTGGCAAATGTACTTAGGGGGAAAACCTCCAAAGGCCAGGATTATGTTGGCTTTCTTCCACAAACAAACAAAAGGGGAAATCCAATGAGAATCACAATGCTTCTCATATTCCAGAGGAGACAACTTGGAGTCATTGAAATGTGTCTATTGAAGAAATGAGACCTGATTCTGTAGTCTTGGGCTAATGAAGTCTTGGGACACTGGGTTGTTTATATAATCAGGCATAACTGGTATGACATGTTTTGTGGCTTGGGGTATAAATATAGTCTTATCTTTCAAGTTTTCATTAATCGCTTGAGCCTGCCAACTGTCTTCATTATTTTTCCAAAAAATTATTTTTAAGGTAATCTCTATGCCCAATGTGGGGCTTGAACTCACAACCCTGAGATCAAGAGTCACATGCTCTACCTACTAAGCCAGCCAGGTGCACTCTTCTCCCCCCAACCCCACCCCAACCCCCCACAACTGCCTTTAGTGGCAAGAAGCCCAACATCTCCCAGGAGACCTTACTATTATCCTTGTGAGTTGTTAAAGAACAGGGAGGGGGCTTCTGTAGGTCTGGCCAGGTCCTTGTCTGGGAGGAGGAAACAGCCATAACCAGTAGCTCAGAGAGTGGAGGAAGAGATGATACCGAGTGTTAACCGAGGTTGAGAAAGCAGCTCCACTCAAGTTCTACTTTATTTCCTTCCCCTCCTGGGCAGAATCAGTGCTATATTTGTGCATGAATGACCTAAGGACATCCTTCCTGACTTCTTTCTCAGAATTAGGAAACCCTGCTTAGTATTCAAATCTCACTGTTCATAGTGAGTCATTTTATCCAGTCATTAAAATATCAAGACCTAGGCATCACACTGATGAAATTTAATATTAAGGAAGATAACGAAATAGATTTAAATGTTTAAAATGTGTATTTTAAACTGTGTTTAAAATATGTATTTGAAATGTTTGTTTCTTTTTTTTCCCAAAAGGTATACGAAATAATATTTATTTATTATTTATTTTTATTTTTTAAATTTACATCCAAGTTAGTTAGCATATACTGCCATAATGATTTCAGGAGAAGAATCCAGTGGTTCATCCCTTATATATGACACCCAGTGCTCATCCCAACATTTAGCCCATTCCTCAATGCCCCTTGCCTATTTAGCCCATCCCCCACCCCAACCCCTCCAGCAACCAACCCCGTGTTTGTTCTCTATATTTAAGAGTCTCTTATGTTTTGTCCGTCTCCCTGTTTTTATATTATTTTTGCTCCCCTTCCCCTATGTTCATCTGTTTTGTATCTTAACTTCTACATGTAAGTGAAGTCATATGATATTTGTCTTTTTCTGACTAATTTCACGTATCATAATACCCTCTAGTTCAATCCACGTTGTTGCAAATGGCAAGATTTCATTCTTTTTTTTTTTTTTAATTTTTTTTTTCAACGTTTATTTATTTTTGGGACAGAGAGAGACAGAGCATGAACGGGGGAGGGGCAGAGAGAGAGGGAGACACAGAATCCGAAACAGGCTCCAGGCTCTGAGCCATCAGCCCAGAGCCCGACGCGGGGCTCGAACTCACGGACCGCGAGATCGTGACCTGGCTGAAGTCGGACGCTTAACCGACTGCGCCACCCAGGCGCCCCAAGATTTCATTCTTTATGATTGCTGAGTAATACTCCATTATATATATACACCACATCTTCTTATTCCATTCATCTGTCAATGGACATTTGGGCTCTTTCCATACTTTGGCTATTGTTGATAGTGCTGCTATAAACATTGGGGTGCATGTGTCCCTTCAAAACAGCACACCTGTATCCTTTGGTTAAATACCTAGTAGTGCAATTGCTGGGTCATAGGGTAGTTCTATTTTTAGTTTTTGAGGAACTCCATACTGTTTTCCAGAGTGGCTGCACCGGTTTGCATTCCCACCAGCAGTGCAAAACAGATCCTCTTTCTCCACATCCTGGCCAACATCTGTTGTTGCCTGAGTTGTTAATGTTAGCCATTCTGACAGGTGTAAGGTGGTATCTCATTGTGGTTTTGATTTGTATTTCCCTGAAGATGAGTGATGTTGAGCATTTTTTCACGTGTCTGTTAGCCATCTGGATGTCTTCTTTGGAAAAGTGTCTATTCATGTCTTTTGCCCATGAAATGTTTATTTCTAAGTTTCAATGACTAAAATTGCCATTTAAGACAAGAATTGATTGTTGCTGTTGCTTCCTGCTTAGGGAGGTGATGGAATGCACTTTGATATGGAAATAAATCTCTCTCTTGGTCCTTAGTCCTCCCAGGAGCTATTGAGGAAGGAGAAAGGAAAAGATTTCCAAGTGGCCCTGAGGAGTTGGCTCTGAGAAAAATGCTTGCAGGTTAGAGGAGGTCAGTCTGCAGAGAAGACCTGGGGTTGAGTAGTGGGTGAAGAGGTCAGTTGTTTTGCATAATAGGGTGAATTTCCCAGAGACCAAAGGAAGGGGACGCCTGAAAATTAAATAAACAAAGAGGCTTTCGGGAAGAAATGATGATCAAATTCAGTTTGTGTTGTTTTTCTGTAAAGTAAATCTCTTCCTGTCCCCAAATCTTCAGTAAAGTGTGTTGCACACACAGGTGCCTTGGGCTAACAATGAACAAACAACACATAATACTTACTATGTATCATACTATTGTGAGAACTTTACAGACACAAATTTATTTAATCTTCATAATAAAATTATGAAGTTGGTACTATTGTTCCATTTTTTAAAATTGAAGCATAGTTGACGTACAAGTTTCAGGTTAAAACATAGTGACTTGACATTTATATACATTACAAAATGGTCTCCACGATAAGTGTAGTTACCATCTGTCACCATACAATGCTATTACAATATTATTGATTATATTCCCTGTGCTGTATTTTTCTTCTCCACGACTTATTTATTTTATAACTGGAAGTTCCTACCCTTTAATCCCCTTCACCTATTTAGTCTGCCACCCTCTCCTACTCCCCTTTCATAAACACGTTTGTTCTCTATTTATGAGTCTGTTTCTGTTTTGTTCATTTGTTTTGTTTTTTAATGTTTATTTGTTTGCTTATTTATTTATTTATTTATTTATTTATTTATTTATTTTTGAGAGAGAGAGAGAGAGAGAGAGAGAGAGAGAGAGAGAGAGCGCATGAGCAGGGGAGGGGCAGAGAGAGAAGGAGACATAGAATCTGAAGCAGTGTCCAGGCTCTGAGCTGTCAGCACAGAGCCCAACACAGGACTCGACCTAGTGAACTGTGAGATCATGACCTGAGCTAAAGTCAGCCATTTAACCAACTGAGCCACCCTGGTGCCTTTGTTTTGTTTTTTAGATTCCACATATGAGTGATGTCATATTATACTTGTCTTTCTCTGACTGACTAATTTCACTTATCATTATACCCTCTAGATCCATCCATGTTGTTGCAAATGGCAAGATTTCATTTTTTTATGGCGGAGTAATATTCCATTGCATATCTATATTTATAGCTACACACACACACACACACACACACACACACACACACACACACCACATCTTTATCCATTCATCTCTGGATGGATACTTGGGCTGCTTCTATATCTTGGCTATTGTAAATAATGTGGCAATAAACATAAGAGTGCATATATCTTTTTTAATTAGTGTTTTAATTTTCTTTGGGTAAATACTCAGTAGTAGAATTACTGCATCATATGGTAATTCTATAGTAATTTTGGAGAGAACCTCCCTACTGTTTTCCACAGTGGTTGCACCAGCTTCCATTCCCAGCAACACTACACAAGGGTTCTTTTTATCCACATCCACACCAACACTTCTTATTTCTTGTGATTTTTATTTTAGCTATTCTGACAGGTGTGAGGTGATGTGATATCTCATTGTAGTTTTGACTTACATTTCTCTGATGATGGGTGATATTGAACATCTTTTCATGTGTCTGTTGGCCATCTGTATGTCTTCTTTGGAAAAATGTCTGTTCATGTCTTCTGCCCATTTTTAATGGGATTATTTGTGTGGTTTTGGTGTTGAGTCATATAACTTCTTTATTTTCGATATGGACCCCTTATCCAATATATCATTTGCAAATATCTTCTCCCACTTGGTAGGTTGCCTTTTGTTTTGTTGACGGTTTCCTTTGCTGTGCAAAGGCTTTTTATTTTGATGAAGTCCCAATAGTTTATTCTCACTTTTGTTTCCTTTCCCAAAGGAGGCATATAGAAAAATGTTTCTATGGCTGACGTTAAAGAGATTACTGCTTGTATTTTCTTTAGGAATTTTATGATTTCAGATCCCACATTTAGGTCTTCAATCCATTTTGAGTTTATTTTTGGATATGCTGTAAGCAGGTAGCCCAGTGTCCTTCTTTTGCATGCAGCTGTCCAGTTTTCCCAGCACCATTTGTTGAAAAGATTTTTTTCCCATTGTATACTCTTGCCTCCTTTGTTGTAGATTAATTGACCATGTAATCCTGGGTTTATTTCTAAGCTGTCTATTCTGTTACATTGATCTATGTGTCTATTTTTGTATATCACATCTTCTTATTCATTCATCTACCAATGAATAGCTGGGTTGCTTCCACATCTTGGCTATTGTAAATAATGCTGCAATAAACAGAGGAGTACATATGTCTCTTTGCATTAGCATTTTTGTTTTCTTCAGGTAAATACTCAGAAGTGGGATTACTGGATTGTATGGTATTCCTACTCTTAATTTTTTGAGGAAGCTTCATACTGTTTTCCATAGTGGATGAACCAATTTACATTTCTTTTTTTTAATGTTTATTTATTTATTTTGAGAGAGGGATTGTGAATGAGTAGGAGAAGGGCAGAGAGAGAAAGAGAGAGAGGGAGAATGAGAATCTCAAGAAGGCTCCGCCCTATCAGCACAGAGCCCAGTGCAGGGCTCGATCTCATGAACCTTGAGATATCACGACCTGAGCTGAGATCAAGAGTTGGACACTTCACCAACTGAGCCACCCAGGCGCCCCCACAACTTACATTTCTACCGATAGTGCATGAGGGTCATTATTCCGTTGTTATGGATGAAGAAACTGAGATAGAGAGAGGGCAAATAATTTTCCTATAGTCACTCATGGTTAATATATTTTGAAACATCACTAGATATTAATATGCTATTTTTAATTTAAATTACAGTTATTCAAAGTTACAAAAAGTTATACATGAAATACCTGGTGAATAAATTTTGAATGATCAAATTTGTTATATAGAGAGATACAACAAAAAGAAATGTGTGCCAGGACTGATTTTTATTTGTTTGTTTTCTATTTTTCTTTTGCAAACTAAAGAAGCCCTGAGGACAGAACTCTGGTCACTGCAGAGTAAAAGGCATTAACATAGCAAGTAAAAGACTTGAAGGTCAATGCTAAGAAGAAATTGGAGTCGGGGAGAGTAAGGAGATGGTAAATGAACTTTTTATTTTTTTATTTATTTATTTATTTTTTTAAATTTTTTTTTCAACGTTTTTATTTATTTTTGGGACAGAGAGAGACAGAGCATGAACGGGAGAGGGTCAGAGAGAGAGGGAGACTCAGAATCGGAAACAGGCTCCAGGCTCCGAGCCATCAGCCCAGAGCCTGACGCGGGGCTCGAACTCACGGACCATGAGATCGTGACCTGGTTGAAGTCGGACGCTTAACCGACTGCGCCACCCAGGCGCCCATAAATGAACTTTTTAAAAATGCCTCCCAAGGGGCACCAGTCTGACTCAGTCCATAGGGCATGTGACTCTTGATCTTAGGATAGTAAGTTCAATCCCCATGTTGGGTATAGAGCCTACTTAAAATAAAAAAAAAAAAAAAACACATACATACATACATACATACATACATACATACATACTTCCCTTCAAATCTCTGGGCCCAGAGAGTTATACTCCATAGTAGTAAAATGATTTGTGGATGGGATCATGAATCTACCAGCAATTTTCTATCTTTAAGCATAAAGATATACACATTTTAACTTTAAATATTCTTGAGACATTGTGGTGAAAATAAAAGGGTGTCAGGAGGATGGAAAACATCATACATTTCATAAATGGGAGAAGGGCAGATTCCAGAAACTCATACCAGGAAGTAGGATGTTGTTCACAGGAAAAAAAAAAATCCCAAAATAGTATATTAAATACATTAGTAGTATATTAAATAGTGTATTAAATGTTCTGTGGATACTTCATAAAGAAAGTTGTTGACACCTGGAATGAGTTTGAGTTTTCTCGGAATGTTTCATGTCAAATTATATTTTATTTTATGATAAAATTACCAGATACGTAAATTAAGGATAAGTAATAGTTAACCTTATCCTGGTTTTAGCAAGATGTTTACAGAGTCAGTTGATGTCACTATAGAAATGATGAAAAATGTGACAAGATTCTTATATGGTTTGCTGGGTTACATGGGTTAAATCACTCATGTCAATGTGAACTGATTCAGGGCCTTTAAAACTGTCCTGCATGGTGTCGAGGACTTAGGAAAGCATTTTTATTAAATTTCTAGATGACAAATTTGGGAGCAATATTTAATGAGTTAAATAACAGAGTCAAGATTAATAATGATCTTCTTATTTTGGAATCATTACCTCAAACCAACAAGAATATTATTTAATCCTACAATCAAGTCTAGGGCTAGATTGAACAGGTATGAGCTTTTGGATAATGGCTCAAAAGAATATCCTATGAAAAACTATGGGCTGGCAAGGTGGTCTTCATTATTTTTACTATAACTGCTAAAAACAAATGAACAAACAAACAAAAACAAAAACTTAAAGAACTCTTCCTTGGGTGGTTACATCTGTATATAATTCGATGAGCTATGCCATTCTATGGAAGGATCCTTAAAAAACCAGGGGGATATTCAATGATGGTAACACTGTTCAAGGGGCTTCAGTATACATTTTCTCAATTATTCTTGAAATAGTCTTGTATGATAGCTATTACTACTCTCATTTCACAAATGGGGAACTGGGACATAATAAGATTTGCCCCAAATCATACAGCTATAATTAAGTTTTGAACACAGTCTGGCAGACTTCTCCGCCCTTATGCTTAGCCACTATGGATGCTACCTTCCAGAAGAATGACCAAGTCAGTATGATCCTAACTTAAACTGTGCCTTAACACAAGTGGTTAAAGATTCCGGGTCTGCATTTTCAAATATTTTTTTATTTTGTATGGAAAATGTGATTCTAGAGAGCATAATTAGGACAAAAAGTTTGATCAGTATCTGCTTCACATAAAGAAAGACTTTGTAATCATTAGAATTGTCCAAAATGGAATGAGCTGCTCGAAAGAAAGAAAGAAAGAAAGAAAGAAAGAAAGAAAGAAAGAAAAAGTGTGTGCGCACACGTGTGCGTGTGTGTGTGCATATGTGTGTGTGTGTCCGTGCTCTGGGTGCTGGAATATGGCACTGACCAAAGTTTCTGTCCTCAAGAAGTTCTTCTCAGTGTTTCAGATTTTTGCAAAATGTTTTCGAGATAGCTGGTGACTCTCTGGATTCCTGTCCAGAGGTGATGACATTTGAGTCGGGTCTGTACTAGGTGGGAATTTGGACTGGTAAATCTAAGTTTGCAATAAACTCAATGATTCCTATTTGTAAATATTTGGGTGATTTGATATTTAAGATTTTATACAACTGTTAGCTACACATACTTGAAACAAACAGCTCACGTTACCACTATCATTTCTGAGGACAGAAACTTTGGTCACCCCTGTATTCCAGCACCCAGAGCACAGACACATACACATACAACACTCAGAGCACACACACACATGCACACAGGCACACGCGTGTGCACACTTTCTTTTTTTCTTTTTTTGAGCCGCTCATTCCATTTTGTCCCCCCTTAGTCACTCATAGCTGTTGCTATTGTTTCAATAATTATTCAAATCAGACTGCATGATATGTCTTCACAGACCTGTCTGCAAACATTCAGAGCAGTTTTATTTGTAAAAGATAAAAACTGGAAATGGCTCAAATGTCCAGCAGTAATGAATGGATAAACATAATAACATGGAGTATTACACAGTAATAAAAAAGAATGAAATGTGCATACACACAAAAGTATGATGGTTCTTGAAAGTTGGAAGAAGGTAGACAAAGAAAGAGTCCCTGTTGTGCTATATGCTATTTAATTTATATAAAATTCTAGAATATGTAAACTAATCTCTAGTGACAAGACAGATCAGTGGCTGCCTGTGGATAGGGCTGGAGCGTGGTGGAGGGAGGGGCGGATTACAAAGGAGTGTGTGGAGGCTTTCGGGAGTAATGACATACATTCTCTTGGTCGTGGTGGTGGTTGCACACGTGTCACAACTCACCAGGCTATATACACTTTAAACATAGGCATTTTGTGATATGTCTGTTATACCTCAATAAAGCTGACATGAAAAGAAGAAACTGCATGGAAGGACATACAGGAAACTGGAAGCGGCAATTAGCTCTAAGGTTAGGATTGGGGAAGGGATGAGTTTGTTTTTCCTTTGCGTGCTGTTCAAATTTTATGAAAAAAAAAAAAGCAAAACAAAATGTTTATTTTTTTTTTTTAAGATTTTTTAATTTTCAGGTAATCTCTATACCCAACATGGGGCTCAAAGCCATGACCCCGAGATCAAGAGTCACATGCTCCACCTACTGAGCCAGCCAGGCGCCCCTGAAACAAAACGTGTTAAAGATAAAACTGTTCACACTAACAAAAAATCCAGGCCATTTTGAGCCTAGAAATTAATGGGTTTGGAAAAACTGCTCAAAATTCTTGCGTACGGAACAAAACAGGCTGCTTTAAGAAGCTGTGCAGGGGTGACCTCGTTACTGAGAACCTTAAAGGCTGAGCTGTAAGTCCTCTCAAGAGCATTCCTCACGTTCCTCTTTCCTTGGGGTCAAAGTCTTTGGGACTCAGCAGTAATCAGAGAATAACATTCTGCCGCCCTGGGATTAAATGAGAGGTCTTTAGGTTAAGAAATCTGGTTATTGTTCACTGTTAACAACACGTACTTAGTACTTAAAACACGAAAGCCACCAGGATGGGTACTAATCGTCTATGTTGTCGGTTATAAGCCCCACTGTCTCCGCTAACCTGTGCAAAGCATTCTGCCTGAGGACTTTAGATACAGTATCTCCTTTAGTCCTCACAGCCATCTAGGATACGGATATTATTTTTAACCGTCATTTTATGGGTAAGGACATTGAGTCAAACTGAATCTGTTACCCAAGGTAATAGAGTTAATAAGTAGTAGAGCTAGGATTTTAATCTAGGCAGCCTTCCTCCAGAACCAGTGTACTTAACCATGACTTTATACTGCCTCTCTAAGGATACTGAAATGAAAGAGGTAGAGTCCCTGCTCTTGAAGCACCCATGATCTGGTGGAGGAGATTGGCACAGAGACCATTGACTCCAGCATGTGAAAAGCACTATAACGAAGGTGCGTATGAGGTACCACGAAAGGACTAAGGAAGGCTCCCTGCCTTGCCTTGGGGAAAATAGGCAAAGTGGCATTTAAGCTGGACCTTGAGGGATAGGTGGGATCCTCCACGGAGAGAAGGGGGAAAGAGTATGGCAGGTAAAGGGAACTGCAGGCACAAAAGGCAATGGAAAATGAAACCTGAAGGCATATCGGGTTTGGAGAAAAGCAATAGTTTGAAATGAGAAAAGGGTGGTGCAGCAGGAGGTGAGAGTGGAAGCAGCTTTGAGAGGCTTTGCCAGGAGCTGAGGTGCCACAGGAGGTGGGTGAGCAGAGTAACAGGGTCAGGGCTATGGCAACCATTCTGGTTTAACTCACCTCGACAAGTTAATGAGGAGAGCCTGAGACTTGCCACAGTTTCAAAAACCCCTGAGCTCAAACTGGTTCTGCCTAGCTCTGTTTATCGTTGATTTGTTTTTGCTTGGGCTGTTGGTTCTAGAAGGGGCAGGAAGCGGCCCTAGCAAAATACTAGCTGTTTTCCTGTGAAATAGAAAGAACACCACGTAGGCTCGCTTGTCCATTGTTATTGCTACCCACATGAGAGGTACTCTGTTGGGATGCCTTTAGCTGCAACTGAGAGAAAAATCGAGTTGCATAAGGAATTTATCAGCTCATGATGTTAGAAAGTCCAGAGGCGGCTAGTTTCAGGTGAGGCTCGATCTAGCAGCAAAAACAATGCCTTTCTCTTCTTCCCTGCTCTCTTCTTAAGAAAGCTGACTCCCTTTGGGGTCCCAGGATGACTTAACACAGCTCCCAGGGCTACCTGCTTTCTCATTCACACTCAGCAGGAAAGAGAGCATCTTTGTCTTTGTCTGAGAGTCACCCTGATTACAACAGCTTTGGTCACATGCACCCTTTAAATCAATCATAGTGACAGTGGATAAAATGCAGTGATTACCTTAGCTTTCAGGGGTCTACTGCTTGACCTCTGAAGTCAGGAAAAGAGTTGTCTTCCCTAGGGCCACACAGACTTCCAAACGTAAATAAAACAGGACTACTGGAAAAGTGAAAAGGGGTCAATGAACAGCCATCTTCGGCAGTCAGGTATTAGAGGTTCAGAGGACTCGCTCAGTTAAAGCCTTGGTTTTCACATAACCTCCTTCATCGTTGTTAGTGCCCCCCCCCCAACTTCATACTCCCGGCAACCTCTATTTAATCCAGTGATTCCTAACACCCTCAGAGATTCTGAGTTCATTGGCCGAGACATCAGTATTGTGTTTTCAGCTCACCAGATGATTCTAGTGGACAGCCAGAGCTGAGAACCACTGCTGTTATCTTTTATTAAGGCCACTTCTCCAGTCTCAGGTTCGGTTTTATGTACAGCTGAAGTGGGGTGAATCTAAACAAATAAGAAGAATATAGGCAAACATAATAAAAATTAGTAATAACTAACACTAATTCAGATTTACATGTTCCTTGCACATTGCAAGGTGTTTTACATGCATTATCTCATTGTATCCACTCAACCATCTTATCGAGATAGAGAATAATATCTCTTTTTCACAGGTGAGAAAACTGAGACCCAGAGAACTTAGCTTAGTTGTCCAAGGTCCTGCATCTAGGATGTGGTTAAAATAGGACTTGAACCCGGGTAGATCAGACTCCACAGTTCCATGCACTTAACCTGTTATACATTGTTTGGAGCCATGAGTATGAGAGATCTCATTTATGGTTCATTTCCCAACCGTTTTTAGGCCCTGATACATTTTTTTGTCAGACCCTGCCAGGTGACATTTGGGTGGGTTTTATTTTTAAGCCACCTCTTAGTGTCTCTTATGCCACCTACCACATTTTATATACCTTGTATTACACACACACAGATTACACCCAGTGTATATCTGTAGGTATAAAATGGGGTGTGACCTAAATATGTGTTCACAAATTACACACTGTGCATTTGGTGTTTATATCTGTACACACACCTATATTTCATACACATATAAAAGTCGATATTGTGTAAGGGAGAGAACAGGACTAGCACTGTGACTTTAGGCAAATCAACCTAAATTTTTAAATTCCTTTTTCTCATCTCTAAAATGGGAAAATGATGCTTGCTTTTCTTTTCTTAATTTTTTTAATGTTTATTTATTTTTGAGAGAGAGAGAGAGAGAGAGAGAGAGAGAGAGAGAGAGAGAGAAAGACACAACGTGAGGGGGGAAGGGTCAGAGAGAGAGGGAGACACAGAATCTGAAGCAGGCTCCAGGCTCTGAGCTGTCAGCACAGAGCCCGTCATCGAACTCACAAACCGTGAGATCATGACCTGAGCCGAAGTCGGACACTTAACTGACGGAGCCACCCAGGTGCCCCAATGCTTGCTTTTTCTAACTGCATGATTATCTGAGGATCAAATGGGATCCCAAATGCAGCAAGGAGTCTTGGGCGTACATATTTTGCTGGCTAATGAGCTGTAAATACATATGATGGGTTGGCATCGTCTTTTACAGAGTAATACTGAGTTTCTGTGTCTCCCAGTGATGAGCTGTGAGGTCCCCCTCCCCTTGCTTTCTCATCTACTGACAAACCTTTGGATTCTGTATAATATGCATGGATCAGAGGTCGTAAATTTAATAGAAAGCAGAGGAAAGGACAGAGGAAAGGGAAACAGTGGGAGAGGCATTTTTATGAGTTTCACAATTTACATAGTGCCATGTTGTTTTACTATAAAGGAAGTCACCTTTGGCTCAGATGGAAGGAAATGGGCCTTTTTATACACAGTTGAGATGTAAATTGCACTAACATTTTGGAGACCTACTCCTTACATTGGAGATCAGTCTAGCAATCCCATTTTTTAAAAATGTTTATTTATTTTGGAGAGAGAGGGAGAGCGAGTGGGGGAGGGGCAGAGAGAGGGAGACAGAATCCGAAGCAGGCTCCAGGCTCTGAGCTGTCAGCACAGAGTGCGACTCAGGGCTCAGACTCACAGACTGCCAGATCATGACCTGAGCTGAAGTCAGACGCTTAGCCAACTGAGCCACCCAGGCTCCCCATAGCGATCCCATTTTGTGATAAATACAAAATTTAAAAATGTAAGCTCATATTTATACTAAGATTTAGCAGAAAAAGATAGAAAAGATAGATAACGAATAGCAGTGGTTATCCCTGGCGGGTGGCAGTGTCTGGGAGGCGAAGTTTCGCTTTTTACTTTATATTCTTCTGGGTGATTTGAACTTTTGCCTACAGGCATTTTTTGCAAAAAGAGAGAGAGAGAGAGAGAGAGAGAAATGCAGAGGATAGCTAGATGTGCACAAATCAGCCGTGCTCCTGTGTTCTTAATCCTTGGCTCCTCTCTGCAGGCAGGCCCAGCGGACCCGGGAGGGTGCTGACCCTTGCCTGGCAGGCCCTCCTCGTGCTGGCCCCCCTCGTGCTGTGCTGCTTCGCAGTCCATTACCAGCTGCTTAAGCAGCAGGTTCCTGGTGGCTGGTCAGCTGGAACCGCTTCCTGACGACAAACAGGAAGGACACAGCAGCCTGTGAAGCAGCTTCCCTCATTGGCCTCATTGACAGAAAAAAAAAAAATTTTTAATCTTACAACATTGAGGAGAACTTCATGCTATTAATAACTCCTCAAACCTCTTCCTGGAGAGGGGAACGAGCCAGCTTTAGGTTGCCCTGGAGGAACCTTTGCACTTGCCTGCATTAACAAGCTTTTACAAGCCTCCAGTCCCAGGTCCTGATGACTTGTCCTGCACACTTGCTTACGGCTTTGGCTACGTAATCTCATGGCGATCCTGACCCCCTCCGTGAAACTGGAGCCTCCTCTACAGCAAAATAAACCTCCCCACCATTCGGGCAGCTTGCCTTCTCTTATGCAGGATGCTGGAAAGAGCTCAGGGAAAAGAGAGATTAAGGAAGGTAAGGAAATAAGGTGAGAGTTCCTGGTAGATGATAGCAAATCCCTGCTCTGACACTCCCTGGCTGTGTGGCCATAGGGAAATTACTTCACCTCTCTGAACCTAAACTTCCTCATCTGTAAGACAGGGAAAATAAACTTGGTGCCTTATAGGGTTGGAGGTGCTGCGACTTATAAAGGGCTTCGTACTGTCCGTTTGGAAAGAGGAAGGGTCAGTCAGTGTGACCTGTATGGGTCTCATTAGCACTCACATCCCACAATGGCAGTGGTTCAGAATTTGGGCTCTGTTATTTATTACACGTGTAACTTTGAGCAAACCTCATTGGGCTTCCGTTTTCTCCCAGGCAAAATGGATATAAGGATTCCCATCTCATATGGAATCTTGTAAAGATGAGCTGGCATCATGCACACAAAACAGTAAGGTGCCTGGACACAGGCATTCAGGAAATGGGGGCGTTTACAGTTTGCTGATGAAAAATTGGCATGTTTCCTGTAAAACATAGGAGTTTTGCAAAACCAGTTCTAAACCCCTGGCTGCCCAGTCCCCAAAGGCTCAGAGAATGAACAGGTTCTAATCCCATATCTACTCCTGAAATCCTGTCCTGTAAGGTGTTCCGTCTTCATCTCCTTTCTCGCTCTTCCAGCTTCTCCTTGTCTCCCTGCCTAGGCCTCTCATTAGTCCAATTAATAAACTGTTGCTGTCACTTCAGTTCAGCCCCAGGACCCGCGTCCCTTGTGGATGCGCCATTATGCTGGGGAAGTGAATTGTGGGGCACCCTCATTTCCACAGGGGAGTGGAACAAGGACCTGGGGTTGGCAGGAGATGGATCTCCCTGGGCCCCAGTCTCGTAGAACATCAACAGGATAATCAGTGAGAACTTCATTATCCAGAATGAGAGTCTGGCTGTTTGGCACATCACCAGGGTCCCATTTATGGGCTGGAAGGTTCTGGCCTGAGGCCTCTGGCTTTCCACGCACTGGCCTTCAGCTCCCCCTTGAACGTGTACACACACACACACACACACACACACACACACACACACAATGCAGGCACGCACACAATTTCCTTGGGCTTTTAGTAAGCTAAAGAGTTTGTGGGTACATTCCAGTCCTGGAAGGCTGGTGAGCCGAGTGAAGCTGATGCTGGAGGGCCCAGAAACGCACGACTGCTCCTGCTGATTGCTGAGAATAACCAAGCCCTGAGGTTCCCAAGAGCCCATTAAACCATCACAAGTGTCTCATCCCTAGTGAGAGCAGTCCCCCACCTCCCCGGCCTTGGAAAGATAAAGGACCAGGCCTGGGGAGTGGCCCAGCTAGCTGAAAACAAGAAGATGGGACTGTTGGGTTAGCTCAGAAGCTCCAGCAGCCCGGGGACAGGTTGGTTTGCTAGGTACACAATGGAGTCAGCATTCACAGCCTCCTCCCTGACATCCTATGGTGTGAAACTGGAGTTTATGCTGAGGACAGGGGAGGGTAGGGGGCATGGTTTGATGGGAAGTTATTTCCCCAGCCAGTTATATCATTCATACCTGTTCAGGCATACATTTAGGGGAAACGGGGTTCCTATCAAAGTCATTGTGTTGACACCTGGCTCTCACCTACTGCCCTATCAGCACTTCTATTTGCCACCCAGAATTACTTCCATGCTGGCCTTAGCCCAAGCTGAATGTGGAGAGGGATACGTTTTCTTTCACTTCTTTGTCTAATTCCCCACAACCACAAAAACACACGTGCTGTGTATAATAGACTTCACGGTAGGTCTCCGAGTGTGGTTCTCAAAATATAGTCCATGGGCCAGCTGCATCATCATCACCTGGGAACTTGTTAGAAATACAGATTCTTCAGCATTACCCCAGGCCTACAGAATTAGAAATTCTGGGAGCCAGCCCAACAATTTGTTTATTAACAAGCCCTTCAAGCGATTCTGATACCTGCTGAAATTTAAGGACCATTACTGTATGTTTGAAGATACCTTGAAAAAAATCACAGTATAGGGAAGGAGACTAAATTCAAGCAGAATTGTAAATAGGACTGTTTACAAGCCCATAGGAATATAAAAAGGGGCTTTCATGGAGTTTTGCTTCCCTCTCTGGAGGCCCACATGAAGAGGTTGATTTCTTCCCATATAAAAACAATCCTAAGCATGTGCTCACACACATACCACACACACACACATGCACACACGCGCATGCACACACACACACACACACACACACACACGAGAACCCATTCCCCACCTTTTCTCTACAGAGGCCACAACATTCTTGAATTTGGTGTTT